AATGAATGTTTAGGGGACTCTGATGATTGTAAAAAAAAAAAAGGATCCCTAGTAGACAACAGAAAAGGGTGGTGATGTCAAGAAGATCACCAATTTCATAAAAATCCTGAATTTAAACAAATGAGCCTTTTTTTAGCCTACCCAATACCAACAATACAACCTCTCCTCAAAGACTCTTCATATTGGGATGTTGAGAGTAGAAATATGACTTTATGACAAGAAGTCATCACTCAAAGAAGTGTATGCAATAATATCTTGTCTTGTCCTCGAGGTTTTTAACTTGTAGACCCGAAGTCAGATATGACAAAATCCTTTTTCTTGGCCTCAAAATGCCTATCCTTTTAATAGCCATTGACCAAGCCAACATTACAGTCCTCTGAAAGACCTTATCGGATCAATTGGATTGTATATATTGCGAACATCTCCGGACACCTAAGGATTGATTAAGAGAGATAGAATTGAGGGATATCATACAAATCCCATTTCAATCAAATAAAGAAAAGACCAAGCTCATATATTGAAACAAATCATTTCTAATGAAGAAGGTCTTCCAAATGATCATTTCAAGCATTTCTTCAATGATTATAAGCATTTTGTTCAAATAATTCCTCGAAGAGGAAATTTGATTATCTGAAATGCATTAATGCAAAGAATGCATGTTTCGAGACCAGGTTGCAAAAGTTTTTGGTCAACCTAAAATCAAGTTTTCAAACAGTTTGTGGTAAGCTAAGAAAAAAATCACGCTTCAAACAGTTTTGATTAATTTCAAAACTACTTTTTAAAATAGTTTTTGGTCAACTAAAAACCATACAAAGGTTAGTAAAACCTCAAAAATCACATAACTCATGGTCAAGGCATTCATTGTTTGAAGTCTTCCCAAAATCCTACAGGCGAGGAGCCTCTAGGCAAATTCAAGTCCTCTAGGCAAATTCAAGTCCTATAGGCGAGGAGCCCTTAGGCAAATTCAAGTCCTATAGGCGAGGAGCTCCTAGGCAAATTCAAAGTCCTACAGGCAAGGAGCCCCTAGGCAAATTCAAGTCCTACAGGCGAGGAGCCCCTAGGCAAATTCAAAGTCCTACAGGCGAGGAGCCCCTAGGCAAATCCAAAGTCCTACAGGCAAAGAGCCCCTAGGCAAATTCAAGTCTTACAGGCGAGGAGCCCTTACGAAAATTCAAGTCCTACAGGTGAGTAGCCCTTAGGCAAATCCAAAGTCCTACAGGTGAGGAGCCCCTAGGGAAATTCAAAGTCCTACAGGCGAGGAGCCCCTAGGCAAATTCAAAGTCCTACGGGCGAAGAGCCCCCAGGCAAATTCAAGTCCTACAGACGAGGAGCCCCTAGGCAAATTCAAAGTCCTACAGGCGAGGAGCCCCCAGGCAAATTCAAGTTCTACAGACGAGGAGCCCCTAGGCAAATTCAAAGTCCTACAGGCGAGGAGCCCCTAGGCAAATTCAAGTCCTACTGGTGAGGAATCGCTAGGCAAATTCAAGTCCTACAGGCGAGGAGCCCCTAGGCAATTTCTAAAGTCCTACTGACGAGGAGTCACTAGGCAAATTTTAAAGTTCTACTGGTGAGGAACCACAAGGTAAATTTTCAAATCCTCAGGCGAGGAGCCTTAGGTGTTCATGGTTCGTGGATTCGTCCTTAAACCACGAAATCTGAATAATCATCATAATCATCACCACCATCAATTCATGCCCTTATATAAGAAACAAAGAGACGCTTACAAACAAGTAAGTTTCTCTCCCTCAATCATTAAGAACCTTTCAAAATATGTTCTGAAAAGAGAACTTTTGGATTAGATCACGAATTTCAAAAGCAAGATCCCTAATCAATTGTTGTGAAATTTTCATCTTATCTTGTTCATTGAGTTGACTAAAAACTCATGTGTCACCTTGTCTTTGAGATCAACCTCTAATGAGCTCAATTCCAAAGAGGGGCAACTCTTGACACCTGATTTTTAGCTCATTTTTTTATATTTTCAAAAATCTCAAAAGTAGGACTAGGAATCTTGGCCAAGCTTAGAAACCTACTTCTAAACCAAAAATAAATTTTTTAGCATTTTCTTGCATTTTTCATTAATTTCTTTTAGTCAAAATAAGTAAGAAAATCAAGAAAAATAGCATATGGAATCAGAAAATTCCATAAAAATAGTCATTAGTCTTCTTTTAAATCCAATTTCATTAATACAAAATCAAACCCGAATTGAACCAAAAATGCAATTAAATCTTTTTTAGTCATTTTTAAGTCATAATGTCTTCACAACAAATGTTTCCGGGACCTTGAATTACATAATGGTCGGTCCAATTGCACAATTTGTCAAAGAAATCAGAAAACCCCAAAATTCAATTGAAAATTAAGAATTTTGAGCCCAAATTGGGAATCGTGCCCAATATGAAATTGTCGAACCATGAGACCACCATTTCTAGGGTTAATCATATGTGGGTAATTCAATTTTAACACCAATTTTGCCTAATCACATCATTAAGACATCGAATTGAACAAAACCCTAATAACCCGAATACAAAAGTTTGAAAATCTTGGACATGATTATGACAAAAATTGGGAAAAATCATATATTTGGGTTCAAAATATGATGAGGAATTCAATTTTGGGTTTAAATTTGAAAAATTGGTAAAATGGTGTCGAATTTGTGAATTTAGACCAACCCGGGTCTGTCGGGTCGGCCGGGTCAACCCGACCAGACCCGGGTCGATCACCTTCTTCACCCGGTTTACCCAAGAATGCACAATAAACCCAGAAAAAATAGTTCGCGCCCGAGACTTTGCCGACTTCGTGTGATCAATTTCACACGTGAAAATCGAGTTGGCCAGCTGGAAAATATCCGGCTGGCACCAAAGAATCATCCCAACCGATTCATGGTTGGTTAATAACAAACTTTGGGCGGGAATTTTGATCAACAAAAAACCAAGAAAAACTGAACATTGAAAGAGGAAGGTGTTCGACGAATTGCCAAAAAGAGAGAAGAGAGAGAAACAGAGACGAAAGAGAGAAAACTAGTGAGAGAAGTGAGTTGAGACTCCTTGAGGCCGAGTGATTGGCGCTTTTCCGATCGAAAAGCGCCGGCAAATCGGTCTCACCGATGAGTTTCCTCACCGGCGAACCAAAATTGGAACTGATCACGAACGCCTGGAAATCAGTCTCGGCAGAAGCATCCAAAGTCTCTTCAGCGAATCCAAAGCCACCGTCTTGAAGCTCAAGTGCCAAAGAAGACTTCCACGGTGACCGATTAGCTCGAGGACAACATTTCAATCCCGGACGAAGCAGGTAAACATCGCTCGTGGTCACGTTTTTTTTTAGAATTCCAGAAAACCATTTTGACCTTAAAATGGATGTTCATGCAATTTTCTTTGAGATTTTGATTTTCTGGAGGTCTATAATACGTTTCTAATCATAGTTACGTTGTTTGATTACATTTTGGGTCATTAAATGGTATAAAACCGAGTTGGCCACCATTGATGAACCACACCGGAGCTCGGAGATCATCGCCGGAGCGTCGTCGTGGACATAGGTCACCCAATTTAGCATTTTCTTACCTTGTTTGATGATTTGGAACTTATTTTGATCGACATAGACGGCTAGGGCGAGTAAAATAAGGATTTAAAGCTTCTGATGAGTATGGTTTAGGTTAGTAGCAGATTGGCATTTTCCGACCGGTTTTTCGCCGGCCGGCGACGATCCAAAGACAAGTCTGTAAGTTGAAGTTGATAGATGGTGATGAGAGGGAAACACAGAACCAAAAATCAATCAAAAAGGTCACCGGAATGGTCGCCGGCGACAAGTTCAAACTGGCGGCCTTGATAACGTTTGAGTTGGGAATATGCCCACCAACCGTTCGACCAAATGCTTCAGGGAATAAAGGGCAAAACGGTGCCGTTTTTGGCGTCGTGCCCGCCGGAAGAGGTGATCGGCGTCGGCGCCGGTGACGCCCGGTTCGGCCAAAGCCGAATCGGGTTGAACCGGGCTGGTCTGGTTCATTTCCCGGCGGCAAATTTTAAAAAAATCTAAATAAAAAAAATCTATAAAAAATTAAAAAAATTCATAAAAATAATAAAAATTCAGAAAATTTTTGGAAAATTGGAAAAAAATTCAGAAAAATAGGAAATTCACAAAAAATAAAAAATTTCAGAAGATTAAAAAAAAATTTAGAAAATTCATAAAAATTTAGAAAATTCTAAAAATACAAATAAAAAATGTGAAAAATTCAGGAAAAATCTAAAAAAAATTGAAAAATTGAAACTTTGGAAAATTCATAAAAAAATTTCAGAAAATCATAAAAATCAATTCTCGGTTAATGAAATTCGCAGAAATTCAATTTCTGAAAAAAAATCAAAAAATTCAAAAATTCACGGTATTGTTCAAAAACACTGTGGCCAACCTTAGAAAGTGAAATTTGAATTTTTAGAAGTGCCCAAGTGGTATTTTTAGAAAATCTCAAATTCAATAGTTATAACCCCTAAAAAACCCTAAGACCCTAAAAAAGTGCGAATCATGAAATGAATAAGCTTTTAGAGCTTCATTAGGGTTTGGATGTTTTGATTGATTTTCATTTTTAGAGACCATTTAGGATTGATTGATTTGATTGACATTGATTGCGCATTTAATTCTTGATTGATTTTCCCACGATTAGAATGGATAGAATTAGTGGGTAAACCTCATAAACTTGTATGACACGTTAGACATCGTATCATTCTTAGGTACCGAAAGGGCGTTAAGGATCTCCATTCGGGATCATTAGCATAACCAAGTCCCCGTACTCAGAATCTCTAGTTCATAGAATCGTGGTATTTCTCCCATACCTCGATTAGGTTTCTAGTCTACCTACCAATAATGACTAGTGGCAACTCCAAAATCAAAAACTTAGACCAAATAGGAAATCCACCATCCGCTGTCATGTGAGGTATGGTCTGGGAGAGACCCTTACACGGAAATACCTCCTTAGCGCGCAAGTCCCGAAAGTCCAAAAAAGTGCGGCGTGACAGACGTTAATGCGAAAGATGGATTGCCAGAGTACATGCGAGTGTGTTACCAGACAATTCTCGATTTGTACGATGAAATTGGCTACGAAGTGACGAGAAAAGGGCGATCTTACCGTCTCTTCTATGCAAAAGAAGTGGTAAGACATTCGACGTTACATCAATCAAATGCAATTTTTACTCCGTCCACTTGCAATAGAATATCGGGTTTTTGGATGAGGATGAGAGGCTGTAATATACGTAAGTCCACCAAATACGTTGGAGTTCCAACATTAACATAGCTTTACATTTGAGAATGAACTTTGAGATGAAAAGGAAAGTGACAGCATACTTTGCCGAAGCCAAATGGTTCTACCAAAACCACGTACCGGCAATGGAGGAGCACATGCCCGTTGCTTTAGCAACATTCGGCACTGAAATGCTAATAGCGACGTCGTTTCTGGGAATGGGAGATATTGTAACAAAAGATGCCTTTGATTGGTTAATATTCGACGACCCCAAGATGGTGAAGGTTTCGGCAGTAGTCGGTCGGCTCATGGATGACATTGCAGGACACAAGGTATATAAAAGCAATGCCTGTGAACAAAATTGATTAATCTGTATTAATTTATCTAATAGATCTTACCAATAGGAGAAAACAATAATTTCCACGAGAAATTTGTTTGCAGTGTGAGCAAGATAGAGGTCATCCGGCATCTTCAGTGGAGTGTTTCATGAAACAATACAGAGTTACAGAGGAAGAGGCCAAGGAGGAACTCCGTAAGCAAGTGGTCGATGCATGGAAGGACATTAACAAAGAGCTGCGCCGTCCGAATTTGCTCTGTGCACCATTTGAATTGTATGTTAACCCTTGATCGGTGCTCTTCTCTGTCCTGAGCCACCCCGTCTCACCTTCGAATTAAAGAAAATAAAGAGCCCGAATAAAAATGTCACATTATAATATATCAATGTTCTATACTGTGCCTGGTTTACTCTCTTGATCAATGTCAAAGATATTGTATAATATATATATGCTTATGACGGTCTTAGTACATTCTGGCCAGCACAAATTACAATAAACAGAAATGGAACCGAGTCTCACATTTTTTGGACAAGAAATCGTCGGTGTATTTACAGTGAAGCAGGAAGGGATTATTCCTGTTGCGACCGATCTCCGATTTTTATTTTCAAAAAATGGGGTTTCGCCTAGTACGCGCTAAGTCTAAGTTCGGGACTTAACTCGGGCTCTCCCAAGCCCATTCCATATCGCGACTTAGGGTTTAGGTTTTTAACCTGCATGTGGTTTTTATCTAGGAGTCGCCATTAATCGGTTTGGGGTGGGTCGATTAGACACCCAAGCAAGACAATGGGAGAATTGCTTACTTCTGCGAATCAGAGATTAAATGAGTTCCGGGACTTGGTTACACTAGTTTAATAATTAATGCCCTTTCGGTACCTTTTTACCCTGTTCATTTCAGAAAATATTTGTCAGGCAATTTGGATTGATTTTAGGACATTTCTCCTAACATGTGAGGTAATCAAGCGAGCGCACAATCATTAATGATTAGTAGTCAGGATAGATATGCAGTCTAGGGTTCTAATCCTAACTAAGGCGACAGCATTGAGAACATGATAATTGATGCAATTATATTCTAATTGAAAACATAACATGCATAATAATACAACAAAGGTGAATATAACATGCAAAACCCTGTCGTATAGTTTTATAGGTCTATTCGATTTAAAACATGATAATTTATGAAATTATATTTTAATTAAAAAATAACATGCATAATAATAATACAACAAAAATTTAAAACATTTAGATATGTCACATAATTTAGACAAATATTAGATAACACTTATATCTAAATTATATTCTAATTTTAAAAAGAAAATTAAAAAATTTGGGAATTTTTTTAAAATTTCCTTTCAAAATTTTTTAATAAAATAATAATATAATATTGAAATCGACTCAGGTCGGCGGATCCGGGTCAATTAGGACTGACCTGGGTCAACGGACCCGACCCATCGCGTTGTCCCGGGTTGCATTTTCGGATCTGACCCGGGTCTGGGGGTCAACTCGGGTCATTGACCCAAGTCTGGACCAGATCGGGCCTGATCGGAGCCCGATCCGGTGGATAAAGACAAAATAGGGCCGGTTCGACTGGGTCCAATTGGCCCTATTTGGCTTGTAGATCGGTCCAACCGGTCTGCAAGCCGGTCCAAGGATGGCTCCCGCATGTCTGGACACGCGGGAGCCTCGGCCGGCGAGATCCGACTGTCTCGCAGGATGACCTAGGCCACCTATGGCCTGGGTCTCCACCTCATAAACCTCAACCTACCTTCTCCGATGACCGGGCCCATCGTCCGACTACCCACTCGCCGGCCGGCGAGCAAAAACAAATCCAGCCTCTTTGAGGCATTTCATTAAACAGATGGGGGGCATAACAAAAATTGAGGGATCTCAACCACCTCCGGTGACCTGGTCGGCTCCAGCGGCCGCGATTCGCCTCCGATAGCGAGTGGGGGCTTGGACCAGAGATTGTATGGCCCGGGATTCACGCGAAACGACCGGCGCAAGTCCCGATCAAATCGTGCCAAAAAACAGGGGGTGCTGAGGCCGGGAGGACTCACCGGTCTGTACTGCTCTCTAAGGGGTCTCTAGCCTTCCTGCTGGCCACGGCGAGGCTGTTGCTGCTCCTCGACGACCTGTAACTCTCAATTTACTCCCATTCTCTCTATTTCTCTCTCAATCTGTCTCTCTCTCTCTCTCTGTTTTTCTTCCTTCTTTGACCGACCTGCTCTCCTCTCTTCTACGGCATTTATAGGCGACGCCGGCCACCTGCTCCGCCCCAAAGTCGTGGCATTAATGGTCCCTGCGCCAGCTTGCTCTGCGCCACGACTTTGGTGGCCATTCTAGGCCGATGTAGGAGAGGAAAACTTGCACCTCTGCTCCTTGACTTTCGCGGCCACCGAAGGATAAGAGGAGAGAGGGAGAGACCGGGAAAGGGGGAGGGATGGGACTGACCATCAATGCCCTCCTCTTGCTACTCCCTTACCTGCTCGAATGGGGACGTGAGACCGCTCGGCTGTCCGTTATTCGACGGCCGGATGCAGGGGAGAGAGCAGAGGAAGAAGACCAGAGTCGAGGGGGGAGAGAAAGAAGGAAAAGCTGGGCCGGGCTAGGCCCAGCTTGCGCGAAAGGGAGAAGAAGAAAAAAGAAAAGTGGGCCGAGCTTATGTGGGGTGAAAAGAGAAAGAGCCGGGTCGACCTGGCCCCGACCCTGCTCAACCTGAATTAATATATATATATGTTTTTAAATTTTTTTAAAATTTTTTTAAAGTTAATTAATAAAATATGCTCTAATAGGCCTTATTAATGCAAATGTGCTTAATGTCTATATGCAATGCAATTAGATATAAAAACATAATTTTTTTGTTTTAGGAACTAAAAATTAATTCCTAAATTTTGCATAATTAATTAATTTTTTTGTAAATAAAAAAAATAGGTGTCATCAGTTGCCCCTCTTTGAAGGTGAGCTCGCAGAGGTTGCATTCAAAGATAAAATGACACCTAAATATGGCCCATGTATGTACGATGAATGTTATTTTTGGCAGGACTTTGGGTCCCATTTTTTATAATACGATATAAGATGATGCATGCTAAAGCAAATAAAGGCATACCTAAAGCTACTTACCTTACCAGGAGGGTAGAATAGTCCTAGGTAGTTGATATTGTGTGTCGAGGATCCGAACTTATCTTCTGTCGCCACGACTGGATTTCATTTGTTTAGGACCCGAACCTCTCTTTGGTTGCCTTGACGGGGTTTTGCTTTGTCGAAGTACCTGCGTCCTATCATAAGTACCTGAAAAAGGCTTGATGTGAACAGAGGGGGTCAATCCCATGTTCGGGGGTACCATAATAATCGTAGGTACCTAGTGAATAGAGGGGTCAGTCCAATGTTCGAGGGGTACAATAACAATCGTAGGTACATGGTGAATAGAGGGGTTAGTCCATTGTTCAATGGGTACCATAACAATTATAGGTACATGGATTTTTTGGAACTGGCTATGGGTAGAAAAAAACTTGCCTGTGTTGTTCCTGTATCTTAAGGGCATGTCTCCTGTCAGACAAGTTTTTGTGCAAAGAGCATATGCTTTCATCGAAGGAATAGACGATTGAGGCTATTCTAGAATACACATGTCTTTCTGAGGTATCTTGGTCGCATCTCGCGCAATGAGAAATGCTTTTCTTTTTCAAAGGAATACCTAATTTACCTTCCGGGTGGTTTGAGAAGAGTTCTGATGAGATACCTGGGGTTTCTTACTCGGAGGTTTGATGCATCATCTGTTGAATAACCGACCTTTCTCGGGACATCTCTCTTGGGAAGGTAATGATGCTTCTCTAGTGCCCGAATTTTCATGGCATACCACTGGGGAGTAAGACTCCGAGCACGCTGTGTCAATTCTTGTTGAGGGGACTTAAAGCTATGAAAGCAGTGTCCATGAAAAGGGGGACTGCAGGCTGCCAAGGGCACGTCATATCTGTTCTGTTGGAGAGAACATTTGAGAGTTTTTGGGACATCTTTGGAGACACTCCAAACGTCAGGCGCTCTTTGAGTCTTTGAGGGCATTTTACCTGTCAAAGATGATTAGCGCAAATATGCATGCATCCATAAAGGATATCGACAAGTTAGGCTATTCTAGAATGCATATTTGAAAGTTCATGTGTGATTATTTTGCCATGTTCGCATCACCAAATACCCAACAAGGGTAATTATCAATTGAGACAATTTTCGCTCGCAGGGTGGACTTCTCAAGAGGCTGAACGAGGGATCTTCAATCAGAAAGGACTTTCCACTCGTTCTTACTGAAAAGGGTTGTCTTATCCCAACCATTAATGTGGGAACATTGAAAACACTCAACCTGACCATCATCACATCAACAAAGGTTTGAGTTTTCTCGCAAGTGGTACGATCTTTCCAATCTGAGAGGTCTTTACTAGGATTGTAATGCAGGCTTGGTCAATGGCTTAACAAAGGAGACTGTCCGAGTTAAGACCGTGAAAGAAAATATTTTGTAATCATCTCCGGGTTTACAAGTCAAGAACCCTGCAAAATGAGATAGAAGTAGTCTTGCTTGCACTTCCTTGAGTGATGTTTATAAACATTTGAAATTCTACATTAATTCAAGTGCCCTAGTCAGAAGAGACTTCATGAGTGACGTAACGTAGGCTCGGTTCACAGATTGAGAAACGAAAGGATCGTTAGGTTAAAAAAGGCAAAAGAACACTACAAGTGCCATAACTTGTGTACGGCGCTCACTTTGGTGCCATAAGTTTTTTTTGGATCACTTTAGTGTTAAAATTTTTGAAAAACGATCACTTAAGTGCCAACTCCGGTGCCGGACACAATTTTTCGCCGGAAATCCGACGTGGCATTTTTTTATTAATTTCGAAGGCGACGTGGCTCGCCGGAGATTGGCACTTAAGTGATCGTTTTCAAAAATTTTAGCACTTAAATGATCGTTTTTAAAAATTTTTAGCACTTAAGTGATCGTTTTTCAAAAATTTTAGCAATCGAAGTGATCCAAAAAAACTTATGACACTTAAGTGATCGTTTTTCCTCCGACTTGGCACCAAAGTGATCCGAAAAAAAGTTATGGCACCAAAGTGATCTCCGTACACAAGTTATGGCACTTATAGTGTCCTTTTGCCGGTTAAAAAATGTGTGTAAGGGTGAGAGTTGGTGATCATCTTGGCATTGTCACCGATCTTCTTCTCCACCTTCAGGATCCTCTTAGAAAACTCCCCTGGGTAATGTTGCGCTTTGGCTTCTTGGACTTATGTCCGACAGTTGCAAATTCGCTTGGGG